ACTCCTGATTCTATTCTTAATAGTTGCTTTGTTCAAAGATCACAGTCCTGGAAGTGCTCAAGGGACCATGTTATAGTGACAGCGTTAGGGCTGAACTGGGTTGACTGCACACAAAACAAGTACCTTATCCTCTATTATATCTCTGACCTGATATTTTTGGCTTGATTGGGGGATATAGATGACAACTAGTGGTGATCAGTGCTTACTCCTGGATCTGGACTCAGGGATCACTCCTGGCGGTGCTTGAAAGACCATATGGGATACAGCAGATTGAACCCCAGTCTGGTTTGGGTATGTGCAAGGCAAACACCCTACCCACTGTACTATCACTCAGGCCTCATGGCCTGATAATCTCTATATAAAGATTCATTTTTCTTCTATTGGCACAACCAATAAGATATCTCTCTTGCTGTAAATGAGAATAATATTTTCTTCCTTTCCTTTCAACTTAATGAACGCTTAGTCACAGTATATTATTTCATATCAAATATCTCTCCTTTTCTCTATTCCCTCTACCACCAAGATATTTTCTTACCTGTTAGTTTTCATAGTTTTACCTCTAAAACCCCACGTCCCCCTATATTGCATTTTAAATAATGGGAAAATCTTTCAAAAATAATAATCAAATCAAATAATCAAAGTTGATTTAGTCATTAAACAACTAAATAAGTCCCTATCTATATAGACTTAAGTCCAAATGCAAAATCAAATTCCAGAGCATTTCTGTCTACCTTCAATGTTTATATGATCATCTCTCTCCACTACCTAACTTTTAACCAGTGCCCTGCCATACACAAATATTCATGAATCCATGCCTTTGCTGATACCGTTTTCTCAGTGGAAGTTCACTTCTTGCTTTTTCAACCTGAAAAAACTTTTACTCAATCTCTGACACCTACTTTTATATCATTAACCAAGCTTTCATAGACCTCACATGTGTAATTTCCACTTTCCCCACCTTTCTGCCCCTCTGAAATTTATTATCACATAACATTATCACATACAGATTTATAAATTTTTATTCATTCATAGTTTTAATCAAACACAAACAGTATAAATCCATGAACAGAGAAGTATGAGTTAGGTACAAAAGGCACAATGTCTATTAGTGTAGAATTCCCTCAGAAATGATCTGTAGGAAAAATAAGGCATGCTTACCTGATCTTGAGAATAGGCAATGTTACAAAAATAATATGATTTTTTTCTTTTTACCTAAAGTCCAGGGAATTATAAATTGAATAAATCATTTACTTTCCATATTATAGCAGGGAAAGTATGTACAATATGTCAGAGGTTACATATAGAACAAACTATTGAGTCAATTAGTTATCATATTCATTTTATTTTCTAGACCCATAGACGTTCAAAATCAGATGGCTTGGGGCTGGATTGATAGTACAGCAGGCAGGGCATCTGCCTTGCACGTGGCTGATCCAGGTTCTATCCCCGACATACCATATGGTCTCCCAAGCATCACCAAAAGTACTTCCTAAGTGTTGAGCCAGGAGAAACTCCTGAGCATCACTGGGGGAGACCTCAAAACCAAAAAAAAAAAAAAATCAAAAGTCCAGGTATCCCTGTGACCATTTTCTTGTAGTAATAAAAACAATGTAAAAAACATTGTGAAGATAGAGTCAGAGTCAGTAAAAAAAGCAGGGGATTATCTAGTAGGTTTATTTGTTGAAAGAGGTCAATATGAGAGATAGCTACCTTATAGATCCTAGGGATGTTCGGTGTAGATTCTGATCCTGTAGGCACTTTGGATCAAGATTTATGTACTTAGGTTTATGCAAGAAGAATTAAAGATAAGCACTATCCATCACCACCAATAATGAGAGAATGCTGAAGAGGAAAGGTTCATTCTTTCCTGAACAGATACAACACCTGATCACATTCCCTACTCTCACCTGTGGAGCTGGGCTGAGGCATGAACAGAGCAGCGGAGTCACTGATGAGGGATTTTGAGGACTGGGCATAGGGCAGTGAAATCTGTAACCTGAAGATTCAAATCCTAACTGGAAGTTCTCATTGGATTTTTATTCTCAGATATTCATAGTATTTCTTCATTCTAAATCTTTTCCAACCAGTTATCTCAAAGTCACAAACCTAAAGTCCCCAAGGGCCCAGGCAATATATTTTCCTAAGAGGAAGTTATTAAAAATGAGTACCTGAGAACTGAGGTAAACAGTGCATTCCCATGAGTTCTGACTTGTTAAAATACACTGAAGCTGTATGTATGTATATATATATATACTATATATATATATACTGTATATATATATATATCAATGCTTGTAAACACAGCTTAAAATATATGGGTTGCCTTTGATTTTAAACTTTATTCAAAATTAACAAAATTTTATATAGTCATATAGTAGAATCCAAAATATATTTTATTCAGCCTAGCAGTTTTATTTCTAGATAACCAAGAGAAATGAAAACCTTTACTGACACAAAAATGTATTCTATAATTGTTCTTATCAGTTTATTCGAAGTAGTGAAAAACTTAAAAACCCCAAATGTTTTTAACAGAAAAAAGTGAGCAGATAAACTATGGTGTATATTTATAATTCATCCATTTAAAATCAAACTACTTATTACATTTTAATGTAATTATAGGATCAGTAATTAGTTGGTGATTGATATGGCAAGTTTATAAAATGAATCAGTAGTGGAGGACTGGTATATAAGAATCAACAAGAAAGGGGCACAATAGAACAATCTGATGCAAGAGAAATATTACACATGTCAATTGTGGAGCCTGTTACATTTGTTCATGTAGCACTGTCCTCTCGTTGTTCACCGATTTGCTCGAGTGGGCCCAGTAGCATCTCCATTGTGAGACTTGTTGTTACTGTGTTTGGCATATTGAATATGTCATGGGTAGCTTTCCAGGCTTTGCCATGTGGGCAAGATACTCTGGGTAGCTTGCCAGGCTCTCTGAGAGGGATGGAGGAATCGAACCTGGGTTGACTGGGTCGGCCGTGTGCGAGGCAAACACCTTATCCGCTGTGCTATCGCTCCAGCCGTTTGTTCATGTATTTGTCAAAAATATCCTAACTATACTTTTTTTTTCTTTTTGGGTCACACCTGGCAATGCTCAGGTGTTACTTCTGGTTCATGCACTCAATAATTACTCCTGGCGGTGCTCAGGGGAATATATGGGATGCTGGGAATGGAACCCAGTTTGGCTGTGTGCAAGGCAAATGCCCTACCGCTGTACTATCGCTCTAGCCCCCTAACTATACTCTTTAAATATGTGTGATGTAAGGTAAGGTAAAGGTAAAGGCCCTCCCATTGATCGTCGATTTGCTCGAGCGGGCCCAGTAACGTCTCCATTGGAGACTTTGTTGTTACTGTGTTTGGCATATAGAATACTCTCGGTAGCTTGCCGGGCGATCCAAGAGGGGCGGAGGAATCGAACTCGGGTCGGCCATGTTGGCCGCTTGTAAGGTGAACGCCCTACCCACTGTGCTATCGCTCCAGCAATGTGTGATGTGTGATGTATTATATTTATTATATTTATTATATGTATTATATTTAAATGAAATAGTCATAAAGATCATTTTCTAAAAACAAAGTTTGCATATCAATTTAAAGTTAGGTCACAGTCCTCCCGTTATTCATAAATTTGCTCGAGCGGGCCCAGTAACATCTCCATCTTGAGACTTGTTACTGTGTTTGGCATATCGAATACGTCACAGGGAGCTTGCCAGGCTTTGCCGTGCGGGCGAGGTACTCTTGAGCTTGCCGGGCTCTCTGAGAGGGGCAGAGGAATAGAACTCAGGTCGGCCATGTTGGCTGCATGCAAGGCAAATGCCCTACTGCTGTGCATGAATCAACAACAACAAAAAACCCTCAACAAAGTAGAGATAGAATGAACAAATCTCAAAGTATCATAGATTTTACAGTAAACCCAAAGTCATTATTATATTCAATCGCAAAAGCTGAAAATTTGTCATCTATGATCAAGAGAAAAAGCAAGGACATCTATTTTTTCTACAATTATTTATTTAGACTTGGGACTCCTAGCCATTGAAATCTCACCAAAATAAAAGAGAGATTTATATAGAGAAATAAATTAAGCTATCCTTACTTGCAAGTTAGTTATCAGGATGGTTTAATTGCTTTAGCAATATACATTACTTCAATAACAATACACATATTGTTATTTAGCCTGGATATATATGTGTATGTGTGTGTAAGTATATATTAAATTCTAAATGCTCTGCTCAACAAGTATTATGAATAATAAGTCAATACAAAGAAGCAGCAGGCTACAAATGCAAAACTCAGTTATGTATTTACATATAAATAATGAAGTAGGAAAGATAAAAGACTTAATTATTAATTGTTTGGGGAGCCACACATATTGGTGCTGGGGATTAAGCCTAGGTCAGACTTCTGTGAAGCACATATTTTAACCAGTGTACTATTTTTCTGGCCAAGAGAACCACTTTTTAAAAAGTTCCTAAAACCATATAATTCCTGGGAATCAATTTACCAAAGAATGTATATGTTCTATATGTTCTTTAGTTGTCAATGAATAAGTTTTTGACAATGTAAGAGGACAGCTGGAAATAGGAAAATATTCTATCTTCATGGATTGGAAAACAAAAATTATCCAAATTACCTTACTACTTGAAACGTTATACAGAGTCAATGTGACTCCCACAAAAATTTTAATATTCCAGGTCTTAGAACAAAGGCTACTAAAATCTGTGTGGAATCATTAAACTCCCCCAATATCCAAAGCTACTCTGGAAGGAAAAAAGATTAGACCTATCACATTTCCTGATTTTTATTTGTATTATAAATTAATAAGCAGTGGAGTCTGAGCGTCCGGGTAGTAGCCAGAGGGGCTGAGCTGAAGGTCGTGGTCCCCCTGTACGATCCCTCTCCACCCTCAGTTCAGCCATGTAGTCCGTGAGCCAGATCCAGATCCCCAGCCGCCTTCCGCTGCTTCTCACAACAAGGTCTTGCTGCTGCCCAGCTCCGCCATGCATACCAGCTTGGACTCGGCCCGCAACCTGCAGCTGATGCAGAATCGCCTGCTCAAGGGCACGTCGCTGCAAAGCACCATCCTGGGAGTCTTCCCCAAGACGCCCGACCCCACCAGCGACGCGCAGGACTTGCCGCCTCTGCACAGAATTGGCACCCCTGCACTGGCAGTTCAGGTCGTGGGCAGCAACCGGCCCAAGCCCCACTATACTTTGCTGATCACAGGCCTGTGCCAGTTCCAGATTGTGCAGGTCTTAAAAAAGAAACCCTATCCCGTGATAAGGTGGAGCAGTTGGACCAGCTGGAGGAATTTCCCAACACCTGTATTTCGAGGGACAAGCTAGGAAAACTCTTGGAAAAGTTTACAAATACGCAGTACAGTTGGTTGAAATGTTAGACATGTCTGTCCCTGCAGTTGCTGAATTAAGATGTCTTTTAGACAGTCTACCAAGAGAAGCTTTACCTGATATTCTGACCTCCACTATCTGAACAACCAACAAAGCGAAGCTCCAAGTTTTAGATGCTGTGAGTCTTGAGGAGCGGTTTAAGATGACCATACCCCTGCTTGTCAGACAAATTGAAGGCTTGAAATTGCTTCAGAAAACCAGAAAACACAAGCAAGATGATGACATACATACTAGTAAATATTTCTCTAAGTAGTGCATTGCTTTACATTTCCATTTGTTTGTATCAATGTGAAATCCAAGGTTTAGTTTCTTAAGAAAGACAGGGTGGGGCGGGGGTGGTAAAAGTGGGGAAACTACAAAGAAAAGAGTAAAGAAGATAAAAGTTCTTATCTTCTTACCATTAAACTGTTGGGAATCCTTCCAGTTGTGCTTGGTGGGACATTGTGGTGCCAGGGGTTGAACCCAGGACTCCTGCTTATGGTCCACTTTGAGCATTGCTCCAAATCCACCCCCACTTACAAAAATGAAAAATCAGTTCTGGGGCTCTAACCCAGAAACTTCTGTAGTGGAAGCCTCCCAATACTTATACTTTCCAAATCAAGAATGCTTTGTCTATTTTTGTTTTAGTAATTACTAAAGAAGATATCTTACTAAGCCATCTCCTCCTTTTTTTTTTTTGGCCTGGTTTGTTTGTCTTTAGTATACACTACTTTAAAAAATAAAAACCAACTGTGCTGAAAGAAGGTAAAGTGATATACATGATACCCATTCAGTGACAATATTGCAAACCAGAGTGCCTAAAAGGGGGGGGGGGAGAGAGAGAGAGAGAGAGAGAGAGAGAGAGAGAGAGAGAGAGAGAGAGAGAGATGGGTGGGGAAGGAGGAAGAGAGAAAGAAAAAAATTATACCTCAGAGAAGGACTGAGGGAGTGAGCGGTGTGACGAGAGGGAAACTGGGGATATTGGTGGGGAAAAATGTGCCCTGGTGAAGGGACAGGGTGTTGGAACATTGTATAACTGAGACTCAGTCATGAGCAATTTTGTGACTGTGTATCTGACAATGATTCAGAATAAAAGAAAAATATAGCAGATATTGTGAGGAGTACATTTGAGCATGATTTTTTAAAAAAGAAGTTTTATTGGGTCTGGGGACATACACTGCTGTTTGCTCAGGGTCACTCTCAGGGACCATGCAGTGCTGGGGATGGAATTGGGATTGGTTGTAGATGAAGGCAGTGCTTTAACTTGAACTAGCTCTCTAGGCCCTGTCTTTTTTTTTTTTTAACTGCAATCATCAAAAACATACTCCAGGGGTTTGGGAGATGGCACAAGTGCTTTTAAAGCCCTCAGTTCAATCCCGAGTATGGTGCTGTTGGGCCCTGGAACGAAACCGTCAGGCCTGAACTGGCAGTTTAGCAAGAGCAGCTCTGGGCCACTAAGCACTGCTGGGGATGAAACTCTCGTTGTTAAAAAGAAGTATCCTGGGCTGGAGTGATAGCACAGTGTGTAGGGTGTTTGCCTTGCACACGCTGACTTGGGTTCGAGTCCTCCATTCCTCTCGGAGAGCCTGGCAAGCTACCAAGAGTATCCCGCATGGCAGAACCTGGCAAGCTCCCCGTAGCGTATTTGATATGCCAAAAACAGTAACAAAAAGTGTCACAATGGAGATGTTAATGATGCCCACTTGAGCAAATCGATGAAGAACGGGAAGACAGTGTCACAGTGCTATTATAAATTAATAATAATCAAAATTGTGTTATTGAAATAAAGATAGATTTTTAGATGAACAGAACAGAATTGAGAGCTCAGAGACAAGGCCTCAGAATTATGAATAATTTATTATATCATATTATATATAGTATTATATTATTATAATTTTTATACATATTTATATTATTATAATTTACATTATTATAATTTATTGCATTATTATTGTGAATAATTTATTATGATTTATTATCACTGTCACTGTCACTGTCCTTCCATTGTTCATCGATTTGCTCGAGCAGGCCCAGTAACGTCTCCATTGGAGACTTTGTTGTTACTGTGTTTGGCATATTGAATACATCACGGGTAGCTTGCCAGGCGTGCGGGCGAGATATTCTCAGTAGTTTGCCGGGCTCTGCAAGAGGGTCGGAGGAATCGAACTCGGGTTGGTCACATTGGCTGTGTGCAAGGCAAATGCCCTACTGCTATGCTATCGCTCCAGCCAATGATTTATTATAAATAATTTATTATAAATTTATAATAAATTTCACTTGATCCCTTGACTTCCCGTTAATTGGCGATTTGCTCGAGCGGGCGCCAGTGACGTGTCCATTTGCCCCTGTCGCGTGCTACTGTAGCCCAATGGCATCTGTTTGCTGTAGGAATATGAAGAGCCTCAAACCGATCGTTCATGATATTGATGAAGAAGTCTGACCATCTGGTAGGTGGGCGGCCACACGGTCTTTTGACATCCCGTGGGATCCAGTCGGTAACAGCTCTAGTCCAGCGGTCGTCTTTAAATCTCATTACGTGATCAACCCATCTGATTTTTGACACCTTGGCAAACGAGACAGTGTCCCTGATTCTTGATTGTCGACGGATGTCAGAACTCTGGATTCTTTCTCTCATTTGAGTGAAACGTGATATTCCAAGCATAGCTCTTTCAATTCCTCTTTGGGAGACCTGAATAGAGTTCTCATCCTGTTTGCGTAGGGCCCAGGTCTCTGAGGCATATGTTAATGCAGAAAGAACAGTAGAATCAAAGAGATGTGCCCGGAGCTGGAGGTTCTTTGTCCTCTTAGCTATTTCTTGGATGCTCTTGAAGGCGTTCCAAGCCGCTCTCTTCCTCCTGCGCAACTCAGGTGCCAGGTCATTTGTCATGTTGACTTCTCGACCTAGGTACACATAGCTGTTGCATTTGGAGATGGTCGTTCCATTGAAAGCAAATGGAGCATCAGGTACAAGGCTGTTTCTCTTAAACATTGTCTTTGTAAGATTCAGCTGTAGTCCGACTTCGACCTTTCAACTCACGGTTGAAGTTGGCAAGCATTTGTGCCGCTTGGCTGATGTTTGGTGTTATTAAAACAATGTTATCAGCAAAGCGGAGGTGGTGTAGTTGCCGACCATCTATCTTCACTCCCATTCCTTCCCATTCCAGTCGTCGCATGATGTTCTCGAGGGTGGCACTGAAGAGTTTCGGTAAAATGGTATCACCCTGCCGAACCCCTCTCTTGACATTGATTAATTATAAATTTATTATAAATTTATTATAAATGAATAATTTATTATAAAGTAGCAGAGAGCAAGAAGCAGAATAAGAAAAACCTTTTCAACAAATTGTGCTGAGGAGTTTGAGAGCCAATTGCAAAATACTTTGAAAGTATATCCACATTTGTCACCATTCACAAAAATAAATTTCTTCAAAGTTGATTAAAGACTTGAAGATTACATCAGAAATCATAAAATACATATGTATTCAGGAATACATAGACAAGACATTCAGGATTTGGACCTCAATGTCTTTTAAATGCTTTGAATCCAATGGCACAGATAATTAAAAATAAACAAAGGAGACTATACCAAGTAAAAAATGTCCACATGGCAAAAATAATCAGGTTAAAATAAAAATACTATAAATGGAAAAGATTTCACTCAACAGATAAAATTAAAATATTTAAAAGTATTAAAATTTTTAATATCAATAAAACTTAAAAACCCATCAAAATGGCAAGATGGACCAGAACCTAGCAAGCACCTATACGGCAGGAAAGGTGCTTGTTTTGCATGTGACTGACCAAGGTTCTTTTCTTGGCACTGCATACAAACCTTGAGCCTTTCAGAACTCCTCAAGCCAGGGTTACGTCCTGAGCACAACAAGCAGTAGCCCAAAAGCAAAAGCAAAAAAAAAAAAATAGAGCTATTCCTCCCACTCAGTGATGTTTCTTTTTATTTCTGACCTGTTAAGAAACAGTGAAATATCACCATGCAATGGACTCTTATTTTGATATAGTCTTAGAACGTTCTTTATGCTTTTGAAAGGATTCAGCACCATCGACCATATCCACACGATAACCAAGCTCATTGAGGTTTCTCAGGAGTTCAAGATGCCGCTCTGTTTAACGTTCATTGATTTAAAGAAGGCCTTTGATTCTGTTGAGACGGAAGCGATCATTGAAAGCCTAGCCAATCAGGGCATTCAAGCCCAATACATCAAGATCCTCTGTGAGCTGTATTGCGGATTCACTACCAGGATCTCACCATTCTACAAAGAAGTGATCGTTGATGTCAAGAGAGGGGTTCGTCAGGGTAATACCATTTCGCCGAAACTCTTCAGTGCCACCCTCGAGAACATCATGCAACGACTGGAATGGGAAGGAATGGGAGTGAAGATAGATGGTCGGCAACTACACCACCTCTGCTTTGCTGATGACATTGTTTTAATAACACCAAACATCAGCCAAGCGGCACAAATGCTGGCCAACTTTGACCGTGAGTGTGGAAAGGTAGGACTACAGCTGAATCTTACGAAGACAATGTTTATGAGAAACAGCCTTGTTCCTGACGCCCCATTCGCTCTCAACAGAACGACCATCTCCGAATGCAACAGCTATGTGTACCTAGGTCGAGAGGTCAACATGAGAAATGACCTGGCACCCGAGCTGCGCAGGAGGAAGAGAGCGGCTTGGAACGCCTTCAAGAACGTCGAAGAAATAGCTAAGAGGATGAAGAACCTCCGGCTCCGGGCACATCTCTTTGATTCCACTGTTCTTTCTGCATTAACATATGCCTCAGAGACCTGGGCCCCACGCAAACAGGATGAGAACGCTATTCAGGTCTCCCAAAGAAGAATAGAAAGAGCTATGCTTGGAATATCACGTTTCACTCAAATGA